AACTCTCTGAGGATCTGAAAAAAAGAATTGTTGCTCCACATAAAGATGGCATAGGCTATAATAAGATTGCCAAGACCCTGAAACTGAGCTGCAGCATGGTGGCCAAGACCATGCAGCGGTTTAACAGGACAGGTTCCACTCAGAACAGGCCTCGCCATGGTCGACCAAAGAAGTTGAGTGCACATGCTCGGAGTCATTATCCAGAGGTTGTGTTTGGGAAATAAACGTATGAGTGCTGCCAGCATTGCTGCAGAGGTTGAAGGGGTTGGGGGTCAGCCTGTCAGTGCTCAGACCATACGCCGCACACTGCATCAAATTGGTCTGCATGGCTGTCGTCCCAGAAGGAAGCCTCTTCTAAAGATGATGCACAAGAAAGCCCGCAAACAGTTTGCTGAAGACAAGCAGACTAAGGACATGGATTACTGGAACCATGTCCTGTGGTCTGATGAGACCAAGGTAAACTTATTTGGTTCAGATGGTGTCCCCTCAAAATAAAGCGTGTGTGGCGGCAACTAGGTGAGGAGTACAAAGACAAGTGTGTCTTGCCTACAGTCAAGCATGGTGGTGGGAGTGTCATGGTCTGGGGCTGCATGAGTGCTGCCGGCACTGGGGAGCTACAGTTCATTGAGGGAACCATGAATGCCAACATGTACTGTGACATACTGAAGCAGATCATGATCCCCTCCCTTCGGAGACTGGGCCGCAGGGCAGTATTCCAACATGATAACGACCCCAAACACACCTCCAAGACGACCACTGCCTTGCTAAAGAAGCTGAGAGTAAAGGTGATGGATTGGCCAAGCATGGGCATCCTCAATCGGAAGGTGGAGGAGCGCACGGTGATGTTGTCATGGAGGAGTGGAAGAGGACTCCAGTGAAGCTCTGGTGAACTGCATGCCCAAGAGGGTTAAGGCAGTGCTGGAAAATAATGGTGGGCGCACAAAATATTGACACTTTGGGCCCAATTTGGACATTTTCACTTAGGGGTGTACTCACTTTTGTGGCCAGCAGTTTAGACGTTAATGGCTGTGAGTTGAGTTATTTTGAGGGGACAGCAAATGTACACTGTTATACAAGCTGTACACTCATTACTTTACATTGTAGCAAAGTGTAATTTCTTCAGTGTTGTCACATGAAAAGGTATAATAAAATATTTACAAAAATGTGAGGGGTGTACTCACTTCTGTGAGTACACCCCTCATATACATACACACACACACCATATGAATTAATTCGTAAGTTGATTCAAAAGTCACTGCAAAAAAAAAAAAAAGTACACTCAATCTAAATGCTTCCGAATGTATGCGTGTGTGTGCGCATGTATGTTTGTGTGGGGCCAAACTCCAACTCTCCACCTGAGACAGCTCTGTCTGCAGAGTGTAATGGGCCAGTCGGGAGTCAATGAAGTGACAGCTAACACCTCATAAACCTTGAGCTTGAGGGGCTGAACTGCACTAAGCCTCACTGTAAAACACATACGCACACAAACAATTAGAAATGCACACACAACCAAATACACAAACAAATATTCTTAAATCCATGTATTAATACATAAAAACAGGACTTCAATGTCCATTTTTAAGCATTTTTGAGTGTTGCTGTACACGGGTTGGTCACCAATCTCATATCTACAGTGCTAAGCTATGTTCTTGTTATTAAAAATACAGAATAACCATATAATTGTCATTATTTTGCCTCAATATAAGTAGCACCCACCCACATTCAATACATTCTTATGGAGCAGGTGTGAGCAGCTCAGACTAATGAGGCCGATAGACCATAATCCATTTCAATCTAATGCAACCAACTCCCACATATGTGCAGATAAGATCAGATAGCCTTGAACTTGCCGTGTCAAATACAGATACCCTGACAAGGTAAAGAAAGCCTGGGACGCTTTGAAGATGAACTTGTTTTGGAATAATACAGATTTTATGACAGCTTTTGGAGGATGTGATCAGAGGATCCTCAAAGAGGGTA